TTTCTTCTTCACTATCCGAAACACCTGGCTCCTGGCCAATCTCAGAAACACCTGGTTCCTGGCCAATCTCAGAACCACCTGGCTCCTGGTCAATCTCTTCTCCGTCGGGAGACACCTGAGGCATTGCCAAAGAGGAGAGTCCTGGAGAGGGAGGCCTGGCCATCTCCTCTCCTTCATGTTCGGAGCCTTCTTCCTCCGATAAGAGGGGCTCACAAGACGGAGCCACAACAAATATCTTCATAAATGACTTAGATGAGGGAATTGAAGGGGAACTCATCAAATTTGCAGATGACACTAAGCTGGCAGGAATAGCCCACACCCCAGAAGACAAACTCAGAAGACAAGCTGCATAGGCTCTCAGTGTACATACAGACACTGAGTGATAAAGTGATAAGGATCATAAATCATAAGATACAAACAACAAGTGATAAGAAATACAAATGACAGACTCAATAATTCCTCTGTAGAACTGTATAAGCAGCTCCTTGGGCAGTCTGAGCTGGTAGAATAGTAGAGCCTCTCCTAAAATCTACTATCATCTCTACAGTTTTAAGAATGTTCAGCTCCAGATTGTTCCAACTGCACTTCAGGGCCTGTTCTACCTCCCATTTGTATGCAGACTCATCATCATCACGAATGAGACCAATGACTGTTACATCATCTGCAAACTTCAATATTTTAACAGAGGGGTCCTTCAAGATGCAGTCATTGGTATATAGAGAAAAGAGTAATGGAGAGAGATCACGCAGCCCTGGGGGAGCTCCTGTGCTAATTGAACAAGTATTCAATATGGTTTTACCTTAGCTTGCTGCTTCGTATCTGTTAGAAAGCTTATAATCCATCTGCAAGTGGATCAGGCACAGCTAGCTGAGACAGTTTGGAGAGGACGATTTCTGGGCCCCGGGATGTTAATAGAGCATTTGAAGCAAGAAGGGACATAATACTTTCCTGGCCTGATTGTAGACCATTCAACCCCCTTCCTCTTTGGCACGACGCAGTTGTTTGAGCTTAACTGTGAACCTAAGTTTATTATTAGTGTATATGCATAAGGTTTTGGTTGGCACACATTGGTCCTCACAAAAGCTAACGTATGATATCATAGTCTCACTGAGTTGATTCAAATCCACTGATGCAGCTTTGGAAATGCTCCAGTTTGTGCAGTCGAGGCAAGCCTGTAGCTTTAACTTTGCCTCTTCAGTCCAAGATTTCCCTTTTAACTATTGGTTTTATGATTTTAAGTCTTTGTCTATAAACAGGTACAAGGTGAATCATACAGTGATCAGAGTGCCCCACAGCTGCTCTTAGTAACAAGCAATAAGCATCTTTTAATATTGAGTAGCGGTGGTCTAAAATATTATTGCATCTAGTGAGACAGCTGACATGCTGAATGTATCTTGGCAGCTCTGAATCCTGGCTTCGGTTAGCACTGGATAGTGCTGGGAGTCTGGATATCTCTGTTCAGCCCACAAGATTTGGTCAGCTAAGGTTTGCAATGCTTTGTTTATGCAAGCTTAGGGTGGTATGAAGGCCGCAACTAGTATAAATGAACAAAACTCATGAATGTCATAGAAGGGTATGCAATTAATGAATAGTGTGTGTAAGTCCATATCACAGAATTTCTTTAGTGTAGTAACATTTTTATACCATCAGTTGTTCATATAAAAACAGATTTAATTACCAATGAAGGAGAATTTAATTTAATTTAACAGATTTAATTTAACTATGGTAACTTAGTCCAAGAATTAAATAAGGTTTGTTTTGCTTGATATATTCTTGATGAAGCCAGGTTGGCTTCTGGTTATAATTTTGTTTGCTTCTAGGTGTTGGCAGATTTGTTGCTTATTATCTTTTCCAAGATCTTCCCAAGTATTGATGTCAGGCTGATTGGTCTGAAATTTCCTGGATTTGTTTTCTTTCCTTTTTTGAAGATGGGAACAACATCAGCTCATTTCCAATCCTCAAGTAGTTCCCCCGTACTCCAAGAATTTTAAAAGATATGGATCAGTGGTTCAGAGATCATGTCTGCCAGTTCCCTCAGAACTCTGGAATGTAATCCATCAGGACCTGGTGATTTGTCTAGAGTTGAGAGGTGTTCTCTTACCCTGTGTTTGCTTATTTTATTTTGCATTCCTATTCTATTTTTTTCAGTTCTGTTTTTGGTAAGTTGGATCATATTATCTTTTTTAGTGAAGACAGATGCCAAGAATGAGTTAAACAGTTCTGCTTTCTCTCTACTCTCTACTCGTCATTACTTCCTTGCCATCATCTCCCATTAGTGGACCAATTTCTTTGACTTTTGTCTTGTTTTTTTATATGTTGAAAGAAACTTTTAAAATTGTTTTTGATATTTATTGAAAGTCTTACTTCGTTCTGAGCCTTAGCTTTTCTAACTTTGTCTTTACAGATTCAGGCTATTTGTTGATATTCTGCCTTAGTTGTGTATCCCTCTTCCCAGTTTGTCCGAGAGTTCTTTGTGCAACCATAATGGTTTCTTCTTGGATTTCTTATTTTCCTTTTTCAGTGGTATTGTGCTGGACTGGGCTTTTATGATCATATTTTTCAGTTTCCCAAGCTTCTTGAGTTGGCTTCCCCTTTAAGATTTTGATCCATGGGATTCTTCCCAAGCTTTTTCTGAGTTCATCTTTTAAAGTTTTAAGACACTGGTTTGATTATGTTCTGTTACTTGTGTGTGTATTGTATTCTTTGTGTTGTATTGTTTTATTGTATTGTGTTGTAATACAATTTTGTATTGTATTGTGTCTGATGCTTAGCATGTTTTGAGATCCAGCTCTCATTATCCCCAGCAATATGGCCAATGACTGGAGGGGATGGGAGTTGTAATCCAGTACATCTGGAGGCCAGGAGATTGATCACATTGAGATGGGCCATCCTTTCCTAGCTATGTCCTTGTTCCCAATAGTTGGGATCCAGCTGAGGCCATTCTAGCTTTGCCTGTAACTAGGATGGATCAGGAATTCTTGGTCCAATTTGCTATTCTGTTGATGAACTAAGTGACTAAATTGTATTGATTTTGCATATGATCTCAGAGGACTAAATCACATCTAGCTTTATATTTTCCTCAGTGAGTGGGAGCAGCTTTTTTTCCAGCCTTACCTGCAGCTTTAGCTTGAGTCCGCCTACACCCAAAACATGGTTTAATTCAGAACAGCCTTGCTCTAAGAGATCAGGTTTCTTAATCTTTAAATTATGGGGAAGTGTGGTTTTCAGCCACTTTTAGGGCAATAATTACAAAACAATATTTTGTGTAGAGTAAGCCAAGAAAAAAACTGGGCATATGTGACAAAACAGAAAAAAGAGTTGCCAGTCTCCCAAAAATTGAAAATATCCTCCCCCCCTTTTTTTTTTCTTTTTGCAAAAATCCTTTAAAACTCCTGAAGGGACAAGTGATTTAGTATCTGGAAGCTTTTAAAGTGAATAGATCATGTTTCCTTCCTAACTTTAGCAACTTTAAGATATATGGACTATGCTGGCTGGGAAATTCAGGGAGTTGAAGTCCATATATCTTAAAGTTGCTAAGATTAAGAAACACTGGACTAGACCATAGGCTGTTTCAGTTCATATGGTCTTGGCACAGGTCAGGCGCTTTCTGAACCTGCTGAATCCTGCTTCTAGCTTGTTCCTCAGATTTTCCCCCAAGGCAAATTGAGCTAAGCAAAATGAAATCTTCCGGCAAGGCAGCACTGAGCTCCTTGAGGGTTTGCAATGGCTCACGCCCTGCTGTTCCTTCCGCTTTCACATGGGGCAGAGTTCAGCCTTGGAGGTGGGACCGAAATATCCTCCCTGATATAAAATCTTCCGCTGGTAGTGAGCTGAAAGTGCCAGAAGCAGCAGTTTTGCAGACAATGCCTCATCAACAGAGCGATAGTCTTCATGCCGGAAAGGTAAGTGGTCTCGGATCTTGGGGCAAGAAGCCATTAAGGGCTGGAAGTAGGAATTTGCAAACAGTTCCGTGATTTAAATAGGGTTTTTTGCCTATTTCCCAATTTGTGTAGGATCTTTCACTGCATAGCCTTTTCTTTCTGAAGACTGCCCTGTCATGAGCATATTTAAGAGGATGATAAGTTTAGGTGAAATTAATCTATTAATTAAAAGTTAATACTGTATATCTCACAGTGACCCTGGTTTCAGTAGAAGAGAATGTTGCTCCATGAAAATAATACAATATAAAACCTGTGAATCTGTGGTGGAAATGTTTTGCCCTTCAATCTTGATCCTGTGGAAGGGATCTGCCATTGTTTTATGGATGTTACCTAACGAATCCTCCACCTTCTGTAGGGTCTCATTCTTGGATCCTTTGCCAGCTGCGGTGATGGTGAACCTTCTCAGTTGTCTGATGCAGGAGAGGCTTTTGACAAACAAGTCAATGGGAAGCTGAAGGAGTTACTGGCCATGTAAGCAACTGGTTGCATTTCCTTCTCTTTATTAAACTGTTGCAAAATGACAGGAAAAATATTTGGCCTTAAGGATATTTTGCAGGTAGCTGCAGACGTTTTTCCCTTTCTCTATGTTCATTTTTTTTCTTTTTTGCCATTCAAATGATGCCGATTCTATTTCCCCCTCTGTTTGCAAGGAAGCCACCTCCCTTTTTTGGGCTTGGCCAAAAGTTCATTATGTCAGGTGTTCTCAATTTCAAGTTAAGAGCAGGTGACTAGAAAAGTGAGGCGGGCTAACAATCATAATCAAACGGGTCCTGTAACACTTCAGATCTGATTCCCAAAAAGTTTGCATACAGGTGCCTTGATGAACCTGAAGATAATGTTCATATAAATCAAGCAGCTCTTTTTTCAGGAGAATGCATGTTCTTTTTGTAGCTGCCATGAAGTTCCCAAAAAAGATTTGTTTTAAAACACTGCTGTTTTACATGCATGGCCCTCTGAAGCATCTTTTGGAAGAGAATCCGAAGTATGCATAACTTTAATGGTTCACTGATTAGAACCTGGTGATTAGCAAGTTACTAAATGATGCTAATATCTTGTTCATGTTGGATGTTTTTTATAAAATCAAAGGGGGGGGCTGTGTGAATGAGGATTTAAAAACTAGAACTTAGATAATGATAAAGGCTTTATTGATGCAAATGAATTATTGGTGGAGACAATGGTAGGCCTGATTGGTTCAAACCTCTTGCGAGCCTGAGAACCACTTGATTTAAAGCAGTGGTTCTCAACCTTGACAACTTTAAAATGTGTGAACTTCAACACCCATGTTGGCTGGAGAATTCTGACAGATGAAGTCCACACATCTTGCCAAGATTGAGAAACGCTGATCTAAAGGCTTTATCTCATCATCTGCTGTTCTAGAGAGAGATAAAGAGTCTCTCTCTCAGCATAAAACAATAATCCTGCCATTCACAGGTTGATTTATTGAGCATATTTACTTTCCACTATAATCAGAATCTAAATACATGGATAGAAGGAACACTTACAGTAGGGGTAAAACCAGACAGAACCCTATTCTAGGAAAGCTTCACAGGCTAATTTTCTGATCCAGTTGCTGTTAGTGTGAGTAGACAACATCTGTTTTGTGTCCTATTCTAGTTCTGGGCCACCTCTGAAGAAAGGGAAGACCCGCATCTTTCATGGTTTGCATCAGGTAGGGGATAAATATTTAATTAATTTAACCATGTGCCTCTTAATTTTTAAAGGTTTTTTTTTTTTTTGCTGGAAGAAGAGTGGTGGAGCTTTGAGGATTTCCTGTTGAATTTTGAGGAAGAGAATTAGACACTTAAAATATCACACAAATATGACAGTGAACTGAAAGTTCCCATAGTACTTTTTTCTTTCTCCCTAATAAAAACAGATTCTTCAGAACTATCTTTCTCATTGGTAAGGTTTATAAAACAGTAGCAACCCTTTCTGGAATAAAAATGTGCACATCCCATAGTTTTTTCAGTGTAGAGCTTGGCTTCCTCTCTCAGCTTGTTCTGACTTCATAAGAGGACAGCAAAACCAGGATTGAAGCAAAGACTGAGAATCAAGTGATTATGGTAGTTAATGCTGAGAAGGCCATCTAGAGATAGGAGATAAGATGGAAAGTTTGTGGATTAATTAAAATGTTTGTACAGGTAGTCCTCAACTTAAACCATTTGTTTAATGACTGTTTGAAGTTACAGCAGCACTAAAACGGTAACTTACAACCAGTCCTTGCATTTAGAACTATCATATCATCCCCATGGTCACCTGATCAAAATTCGAGCACTTGGCAACTGGCATGTATTTATGATGGTTATAGATCATGATATCACCATTTGTAATCTTCCCAGCCCGCTTCTGACAAGCAAAGTCAATGGGACAAGCTGAGTTTGCCTAATGACCACATGATTTACTTAACATCTGCAGTGCTTCACTTAACAGCTATGGAAAAAAGGTCATAAAATTGGACATGAGTTACTTAATCACCACCTTGCTTAGCAATGAAAATTCTGGCCCCAACTGTGGTAAGTCAAGGACTATCTATATAGCTGCCTGTCTTAAAAACTGCTCTGGTTGGCTTACAACCAAGTTTCTTAGCAGTGAGGAACCTGACCTTTCACTGTGCTTTGAGATAGCTTTGGGTCATTCACTTGGCAGCACTCTGAATGCTGAGTTCCAGAGTACATTGAATGCAGCCCTAGGTTCCAGGGCTTCTAAAGTTGACTTCCAGCCCTTCAAATATTGGCTGTGAAACTTGATATCTTAAATGACACTTGAGAATTTAACTAAGGGACTGTGGCAAACTTTCTGGGTGTGAAAGCTCTGATGAAAGCCATGGGGCAGGTCCAGGGAAGCAACGGGGTGACTCAGTGTTCCAAAAAGGAAAGCACTGCAAAGATCAAAATCTTTGACTAAAACTAAATCTAACAGTTGAAAATGACATCACAGTTTTATTTGTGAAGAACAAAAAGGTAAAGAGTAGATTTGGTGGTTGATGTGATTTTGTGTTATCAGAGATGTCAGTTTATGATGCTGGTTTATAATCGCCTTCCCTGTTTTCTGTGTGTAACTTTTATATTTAATCATGCTTCTGGGTTGTGTTACTTTATCTGTATCTTATCCTGATCAAAAGCTGTAGTGGCACTGTGGTTAGAATGCAGTATTGCAGGCTAATTCAGTTCACTGCCAGGAGTTCGATCCTCACCAGCTCAAAGTTGACTTAGCCTCCCATCCTTCCAAGGTTGGTAAAATTAGGACCCAAATTGTTGGTGGCAATATGCTGACTTTGTAAATTGCTCTGAGAGTGTTATAAAGCACTATGAAGTGGTATATAAGTCTATTGCTATCCTTGTTCAAAGCAGTGAACCATCCCAACATCTGAGGTTGCAGTTAAGTGTTTAAAAGATCTGATACCGTGTACTGTATTAATTGTTTAAAAAACAAAATAGCCTTCCCCTTTTAGGACTTTCTTGCAATCATGTGCCATCCTGTTGCTTATCCTTTTTCCATTAATGCAACAGGTTAGATATTGGATATTACAGAAAACATTTTCATTCCTTGGAATATTCTTTGGAGAGCATTTATTGCATATTACTAGTTTAGTCTCCCTGTCAGAGATATTTTAAAATGTGAAAGACGTAAATGCTAGATTTGCTCTAATCTTGAAAGACATTCTTTGAAGTTCTAGTTGGTTGACTTTTTAAAAAAAAATAGGAAAAATGAATTGATTTTCTCTTCTGTTTTGTTGCAGGCCTTTCCAAATGTAGTAGTTGTTGGCCTGGGAAGGAAAGCAATGGGAGTGAACATAGATGAAAACTGGAATGAAGACAAGGAAAACATACGGGCAGCTGTGGCAGGTTAGCAAAATTAAAACATTAGTTTTGTGTTAATGTATAATCTCTAATATTGCTTCCATAATGAGTGCAATCTGTATTTTAAAAGGTTGTTTCCATTTGTCAAGCTTAGTAGCTTAGATGGCAGTTGTGGGTCTCCCTTGGGTTAAATTCTGCTGGACTTAAAGCCCATGATTTTAATTTACAAGAGATCAGGCCTCTGCAACCCATAAGATGTACACATAAGGGAATTTCAACAGCTTGAATGGCAACTGGTAGAACTGCCTGTTCATCACAAATGTGATGGGTGTGTAAGACCCTTGTCCTTGGCCCCATGAGGGAAGGCATGGCAGCAGAATCCAGACCAAATGCAAAATGTAAAATCTCATATTTTCAACAACCCCACCCTTTGCAGCCTTTAGAACCAAAGCTGGCATAGCAACTGGTTTGTGATAGCCTTCCATAAAAGAGTGAGTGATCAAAGAGAATGCAACCTAGAACTAATGAGAAATTCCCTGACAGTGAGAACAATTAATGAATGGAACAGCTTGCCTGCAGAAGTAATGGGTGCTCGCTCCTTCACTGGAGGTTTTCAAGAAGAGAGCCATTTGTCTGGAATGGTATAGGGTTTCCTGCTTGAGCAGGGGATTGGACTAGAAGGTCTCCAAGATCATTTCCAATTCTGTTCTGTAATTCTGTAATTTCATTTTTCTGTTACTTAGTAGGCTGATAAAGTAGCCTTGGCAAAATTGAGTTTTTAACATGGCTAAACAAAGGTGCATATTGCAAAAATTGCTTTTTTGATGTATTGTGTACTTTGGCCAGCTGAGATTGCTCAGTCATCATTTTCTAACATGAGAAGGTTGGGCGAGGCACTTAATCATTCTTGAATTACTTGTAGGGAGTTGCTTCTAGATAACTCATTTAATTGTCCTATAATTAATCATTTTCACTTCAGAAAGCTTTGATTGCAGAAATGATTGTCTTGGCTGATTTTTACTCCTTGTGGCAGGATGTGTGTTCACTAGAATACTCCTCCTTGGTTCTGTTTGGTCATAATTTTTCCAATGTGTGTTTTATTGTTTAGCTGGATGCAGGCAGCTGCAGGACCTAGAACTTCCTTGTGTTGAAGTGGACCCTTGTGGAGATGCTCAGGCTGCAGCTGAAGGGGCTGCCCTCAGCATCTTTGAATATGAGGAACTAAAGCAAAAAAAGAAACCCACCCTTGAAATTCAGTTGCATGGCAGGTAACCAAGACATGATGTTGGTATGGTGCTTCTGTTGCAGAAATAATTTGTTTACCATGAAGTGTTGAGAAATAAAAGGCTGTTGAATGAAGTCTTTACTGAAACTCACCATTAGAACTCGCACTTAAATGAATAAATCATTTCCACATGCAAACATGGTTTATACTTCAGCAGTGAATCAAGAGCATCTCTCAATAGAGGGGGAGGGATATGACATCATCTATCTCCAATCTACAATACAGTCTTTTCAGCAGTTCCAAGAAGGCTCCAATGCTCCATACCCATTTGCACCACTAAGGTGACCTTGAGGACACCGATAAACCTCCAAGTGGCCTCAATGACCAGCTATAAATATAAATCCTTCCATTCCCCACCATCCAGTCAGAGCTGAAGAAGCTGAAGAAGCTTCTTGGATGAGAAGCAAAATGTCTTCAAAGAAAAACAAGAAAGTCCAGTTTCCTCCTGAAAAAACACCTTTGGGACAACCATGACCTGGATGACTAAGAATCTCCATAGACACTTGTTTATAGTTATTTGCAAATTTGTTGCTTGATTATCTTTTCTAGGATCTTCCCATATATTGATGTCAGGCTGATTGGTCTATAGCAGGCATGTCAAACTCGCGACTTCATGTAACATATTGCAACTTTTTCCCCTTTGTTGGCAATGGGGTGGGCACGGTTTTGGCATGACGCACCCAGCCCGTGGGCCGGCATTTTGACATGCCTGGTCTATAGTTTCCTGGATCTGTTTTTTTTCCTTTTCTTGAAGATGGGAACCACATCAGGTCTTTTCTAATCTTCTTGTAGTTCTCCAATTCTTTAGGATCTTTGAACGATGTGGTTTAATGGTTTTGGTATCTCTTCTGCTAGGTCCTTCTGTACTTTAGGATGTAATCCATCAAGTCCTGGTGATCTGAACTCATCTAGAGCAGTCAGGTGTTCTTTTACTATTTCCTTGCCTATTTTAATTTGCATTCCTAGTCTGTTTTTTGCAGTTATGTTATTGGCATGTTGGGCTATATTTTCTTTTTGTGTAAAAACACATGCAAAGAATGAATTGAGAAGTTCTGCTTTTTCTCTGTTACCTGTCATTTCCTTACCATTTTCTCCTATTGGTTAGATGATTATTTCCTTGACTTTGTTACTATTAATATTTGAAAGAAAAATTATTATTATTATTATTATTATTATTGACATTTATTGCAAATCTTATTTCATTCCAAGCCTTAGCTTTTCTGGTTTTATCTTTGCAAGTTCTGGTTATTTGTTGGTATTCTGTCTTAGTTATATGTCCTTCTTTCCATTTTCTGTATTTATCCCTTTGTCTTTTAGTTTATCAGAGAGATCTTTGTGCAACCATGCTGAATTCCTTTTGGATTTCCTGTTTTTCTGCCGTGGACTGGGCTTGTTTGATTTCTCAGAATTTCCCAAGCATCTTAGGTTGTTTTCCCCATTAAGAAATCCTTCCCACATTCTCTCTTTGTAAAAATCAGCTCTTTTAAAGTCTAGGACAGGGCTTTTCAACCTTTTCACCCATTGTACCACTTTTAGGATATGGCAATATCCGAGTACCACCAGTCGCCTAGCAAGGTGTCAAAAATTTGATGACCCCCCCCCCAAAAAAGAAAAAAAGTGATAAAGTACAGGTAGTCCTCGACTTACAACAGTTCGCTTAATGACTGTTCGAAGTTACAATGGCACTGAAAAAAGTGCCCCCCAAGCCACAGCCGAGCAAGACACCTGCCTGCCAACCCAGCGGCGCTCTTCCTCCTGTTCAAGGTTTTCATTGTTGTGAGCATTTCTGTTGGGGATTGGCAGCAAAGGTGAGGTGGGAGGTGTTTAGTTTTTATTCCACCCATCTGCTGGGTGGTTGCAGCAGGTTTTGGTCACTTCACATGACCCTGGGACACTGTGACCATCATAAATATGAATCAGTTGCCAAGCATCTGAATGTAAATCACAAGACCCTGGAGATGCTGCAACATTCCAGCTGATCGACGCTTCTGGGCTCAGCAGAAGTGCCAGGATCAGCACCAAGCTCCAGCTGGAGCCTGGCGCTGATCCTGGTGCTTCCACTTAGCCCTGACAACCCCGAAGAAGCGCCGATCAGCTGGAAAGCGGCACTGATCCTGGTGCTTCCACTGAGCCCTGACAGCCCTGCAGCTCCAGCCATCTCTCGCTCAGGCTTGTGCGGTGCTGCCACCAGTTCAGCTCATTCCCCTCCCCCGCTACCCCTTTTCTAGGATAGTCGTGTGCCACCTGCCAGGTGCCAATGTACCACAGGTGGTACCCGTACCACTGGTTGAAAAGCCCTGGTCTAGGACACCGGTTTGATTATGATCTTTTGCTTGAGTATGTATTATGCTGAATTCCAATATGGCATGATACTCTCGCCCAAAGTTCCAGCAACTTCAACCTCCTCTATCACTTCTTCTTTGTTAATGTTCTAGAACTTTTTTTTCATTTCTCTTTCTTCTTCTCAAAAAATTCTTAAAAGCTTTAACAAGCTTTGTAAATCCAAGATAAGAAAATTATCCAGGCCAATCTCTTGATTTTTTTATTTGTATATCCCTTTTAATTATTAAGACATCAGCCAGTTTCTCTTGCATGTCTAGTGTAATATCTTTTCCATGTCATTCTTACAGATTGTCATTTTCAAATCTCCTTTCAGATCAATCTCAGTCTTACCAGGTAAAACTTATTTCTGTTCCATAACATCTTTTAAACACAGTTTATCTATGGAGGAAGGTACTTTAAAATTAACTTCTGAGTACATTGTTCAAAAATAACCTTCAGTATGTTCAGTGTTAAAATATTTTGCTTCATTTTGTATTTGTCAGTTGAATTTAAATCTTCTTTAATTGTCCCTTCCTTGTCACTTCTCTGAAATGTACAGCCTTCAAAGTCCCATCGTATCATTTTTTAAGAATTCAAAACAAAAGCATTTTCCTATGGGAAGAACTTTTATAATTAATTCCAAAATCTTATTTCTGATCCATCTGACTCTTTAATCCATTTATAACTTTTTAAAATCTAAATTCTAATCACTATTTGCTCTTTATTCCAAAATAACATTTTTAAAGTTCTTAAACATGTTTAAAACTTATTTCACTAAGAACTGAAGGAAACTCACCCAGTGTTGCAAAATATGTTGATCTGAAGGTTACTAATAGCTGAGAACAATTAAGCAATTTCCAAAAGTGCTTAGAAAAGGAAACATGTGATCTCAGTGTCCTCAAAGGTGCTGATCATGGTTTAAGCAAGATGGTTATTTCTTCTTCTCCCAGAGAAATAAACTACTGGAGACTATTATCTTGTGATCTCCTTACAAAGACTATCTGGAGCATTCATAGGCAATCCCAAGTCCTCTTCTTGTCCAGAGAGGAATTACCAAAGAGCCTGTACCTGCCAACTCTTCATTCTACCACAGTCATAAGTCTTCAATCTGCCATTTCTTCTCCGGAAGTCCAGGCCAATATTATCTTATGTGAGCTGTTCAGCTTCAAAAAGATCAGCTCTCTTCCTTAGAGCTCCTTGTCATTCGGAGCACCTCCCTAGAAAGAAATAATCCTGGCAGAAGCTGCAATTCTTTGGATATGCTTCCCACCCTGTCCTCTAGGCATTTGTTGTCTTTGAAGACTCACATAGTTCCCAGACTGGATTTTTGAGCCTGATCTTCCCTTTCATGAATGTAAAGTTCTACAGTTCTGTTTTGTTTGCCACTATAAAGAAACTCTGCAGTAGTACTTGATAGATAAACGTTCTGTGTTCCTACTTAGTGATGGAATTGATGCCTGGCAGAAAGGGATTCGCTATGCAGAAGGCCAGAACCTGGCCAGATATCTTATGGAAGGCCCTGCAAACCATATCACACCAACCAAATTTGCTACCATCATTGAGGACAAATTAAAAAGCTTTGGTAGCAACGTGACTGTTCATAAAAGGTAAGTTCAGTTTAACAGGTCTTTGGTTGGTAGCATATTTCTAAGAATGATTAAATAGAGCTGGGCCCCAGTAAGTTATTCATATGTCCCTTGCTAGCTTAGCATTTGAGATACCAGTATCTTGTATGGACTTAACATTATCTCCAGTGTTATACTACTGTATGCATCAAATAGCTTACACCAGTGTTTCTTGTCCTTGGCAACTTTAAGAAATGTGGACTTAAACTCCCAGAATTCTCCAGCCAGCATTGGCTTTAAGAAGCCCACGCTTCTTAAAATTGCTAAGGTTGAGAAATATTGACTTATGCATCTGAACCTATTAACATATGCAACCTAACCTAAACCTTACCCCATTGTTAATATAGACCTCCTATAGCAGTGATGGCGAACCTTTTAGAGACCGAGTGCCCAAACTGCAACCCAAAACCCACTTATGCATCGTCGAGTGCCGGGTGGGTGTAGCCCATTGGGTGGGTGTGGCCCATTGGGTGGGCATGGCTGCGGTGGTAACGGCAGACTGGGTGGGACTAAAAAGTTCAATCAATCAATTCCAACTTTGCAAGATCTTTTTTTTCCCGCGAGAAGTTGAAATTGACTGATTGAACCTTTTTTTTGTTGTTTTGCACACAGCGGCGGAGGCCTAAAGCAAAAAGGTTTTATAAAACCCAGTTGAAGGCCTAAGACTGGGGTGACGGCACGCGTGCCCACAGAGAGGGCTCTGAGTGCCGCCTCTGGCACCCGTGCCATAGGTTCGCCACCACTGTCCTATAGAAATTCCCCATAGTTTCCATTTTGTCAAAATCATATCTCCCTTACGTCTTTTAATTGCTGTAGAATACTTAGTCTTTTTACTTTGCTGCATCTGATGGAGAAACCAGACTCCTGAATTTCTATCCCATTTCCCTTGTCAAGCTTAGGTTTACTTTGTCTGTTCAAGCAGGACACTGGATAGCTTACTAGTCAGTCTCCAGGCTGAAACTCAGCATTTACTTCCTATTTTCAAACCATAGCAAATAAAAGGTTTGTTTTATATTGGTGTTCACTTTATGACTGACACAAAAAAGGTTGTAAAATTAAGTCAGTCATGTCAGTGATCTGCTTTACAACTATCACAACATACATAATTTGCAAGTTCTGTTACAGTCAAAAGTCATATTAATATTGAAATGGCTTAAATTCTTCCACATAGCCCTTGCTTATTTCCACTTTGTAGTGCATCCTGGCAAAATAGATGTATTGAGATTGTAGATTTTATTGCTGGGACTTGAAGGAACCCTTCAGGTAATAGACAGTTGTGCAGTTAATTTTTGTGCACATGCTTGTGTGTGTAGTATCTGTGTTGCAAGGTTTCTTCCCCTCTCAAAATACTGCTTTTTATTGATTTTACAATCCAAAGGATGCAAACCAAAAGAGGCATTTCTATTCAAAAAAGTCAAAATGAACAAATATCATGCAAATAAGCATGAACTATAAAGCAAAGTATTGAAATTGCTGGCAATTAAATGTTTAATAGCTATAGCAGTTGCAACCTATTTGTTTGTTTGTTTGTTACCCATCTCACCAATTTAGCACTCTGATTCTCTGAGCATGGAGGATTATGAATTAAGAGAAGCATTAGGAATTTAGTTGTACAGAAGAGGTATTACAAGAGAATGGAGGGAACTAGCAAGATATTTCCTTTGCAGACTGCAGAAGAGTGTTTCCACAGAATAGTTGTAAAGGGGAAACTTGGTTAATATAAATCTTTTTCTTTTTATTTATTTACTTTTTTATTATCTTAGAATTTGAGAAAAAAGTTATTTTTCTGCTGGCATTCGGGAATGCAATGTGTGTCCTCTTTCAGTAACTGGGAAAGAAATAATGGAAATTGTTCCCTGTCGTTATAGAGATAAATCTTGGATACAGGAGCGAGAAATGGGGTCATTTTGGAGTGTGGCAAAAGGCTCAGATGAACCCCCAGTCTTTTTGGAAGTCCACTACCAAGGCAGCAACAACCCCAAAGAAGCTCCATTGGTATTTGTTGGAAAGGGGATAACTTTTGATAGGTGAGCATCTTAGGAGCATTTTTGGAGCAGAATTTTTCCCCTGTTCCCAGAATATGTGCTTTGAAAGTGCAAATGAATGCAATGCAAACTCCATTGAAAGGGATTTTAGAAAGATGGTTTTAACTCATTCATCTTCCCAAGGTTATGTGATCTCTAGGGGAAAAGCTTTCCAGGTTCTGGTCTCATGTCTTAAAGGGAGGGAGCTGTGGAGCTTCACATAGGGATCATGGAGGAACCATTTAGGAGCCATGGAATAATTGGGAAGTTTTTCCTTCCACCGGTATATAAAGATACAAATAAATAAATCTAAATGAAGAATCCATTGCAGAAATTACTCTCAAAAAATTCTATTAAAGAACATCTCTGCAATGGATCCATTTGTTAGATTTATTCTACTTACTGAATTTATACCCTGTTTTTCTCCACTGGGAAGCATACAAAGGGGCTAAGGAAATTCTGAAAAATAAAAAAATGCAGATTAATATTAAGAATAAGTACTATAATCCAATAAGAAAACTACAATGAGATAGAGCTATATTTTTTGAATACTGAGGCTGCCTATGGGTGAGTTTCTCATGGCCTGGGAGCAGGATAGGAGAAAATTCCTGAAGTTGTGCTGGAAAAATGGGCTTCTGACAATGGATTCATCTTCAGAAAGTGTGTGCATAGTGAGACTGGACAAAGGGAACTTTACAGGCACCTATTAGGTAATCATGGTGCTAAAGTATTTTTTTTTTTACCATCAGATGGATTTTGATTGTCCTGCTTACCTACAATTTCAGCCTGTGGACTTCATTTAATTCTTCTCCAGTATTATTCCAGAAGATCTAAAATGAATGTTTCTCTGTGTTGTAGAACTTCTCTTTCAGATTTATAATAGTGCCATATTTTCCATGCTTTTTCATTTATTAAAACAAAAAAATTGTGGCTTGGCATCATAGCAAAGTTTACTCTTGGTACTGTAAGTTTTTTGGGATGGGGTGGGCAAAGAGACCAATATTTGTGGCATCTCTTGTATTTTTTCCCAGCGGTGGCATTTCGATCAAGCCTTCAGCCAATATGGATGCCATGAGAGCAGATATGGGAGGAGCAGCCACCATTTTTTCTGCCATTGTCACAGCTGCAGAATTGAAGTTACCCATTAATCTAATTGGTAAGTAGATTGTAGAAGAATAAATTTACAAAAGTTATTTGAATTGGAAAGAGATGTCAACAGACCTTGGGGTCAGCCCATCTTGATTCTCCAAGGTCTGTGGCAGAACAGTTATCCCATAATTTGCTTCCTGGGCTGGAAATAGAAGCTGCTGAATCTAACAACTCAAGCAAACTGAGTTAGCTGCTGAAATTGAAGGCTGGATTGACTTGTCCCTCTGGCTTCTTCTCCAAAACAAAATCTGCTAATGTTGAGTGGTGAGATTCCATCATCAAGAGTCTTCCAGTTCAGAGATTCCAGTAATGTTCCAGTTTTGGGGTTTGCCACTTTGTAAGGATTCCTGATTGCTCTCCCTATTCTCTTCTCACATGGTGTTTTAGATGAGAAGATATAATTTACCTAATTACACTCATCCAGCAACCATTCAAACTTGTGATGGAACTGAACAAGTGATACTTCTGGTCCTCCTAGTTCCAGCCACTGCAGTGTTTCCGTGATTGCGATTGAGACACCTGGCTTGTAATTATGATATTGCAATATCCTGCAGCCACCATTTGTGATCTTCTTTGCTGGCTTCCTATAAGCAAAGCCAATGGGAAAGCCAGCAGGTAGTCGTAAATGGTGGTCACATGATGTCCTCACTTTGTGACCTATGGCAATTCACTTAATGATGGCAACAGGGACTGCCTTTGTTAAGCGGTACCATCATATGACATCATGCTTTATGACTGCATTGTTTAGCAATGGAAATTCCAGCCTAATTTGGAGTCTTTAATTGAAGATTACCTGTATTTTATTTCATTTTCAAATATTTTTTCTTTATTTTAGAAGAATATAAAAAATAAAGAGTAGCAGAATGAACAATAATTACATAATTAAAACTAAACAAATCCGACAACCACTTTAAGACTCTAACAGAATTTAACAAATTTCATAGTAAAGGGATTAAAGTTAACAGTATTGTACTAAAATGTAATACTTGTTGTGAGTCCGTGCCAGTCACTGGACCCGGCAGCTGAATCCGGGGAATCAGAGGAGGAGGGACCTGGAGAGCCATCAGAGTCGGAGGAAGGCTCTGATGAGCTCCAGGACTTACAATCTGATGAAGAGCCTGTCCCCTCCAATCGTGCTCAGGCTGAGACTCAGCTGTGCGGGGAAGCTGAGTCAGACTCTGAGGACTCACAGCAGGAAGACATTATAGACGCTCGCAAATGCAGAATGGCAACAAGAGCAGAACAGAGGGAGGCAATGGGGCGACTCCAAGGGAGGAGGAGAAGACATTGAGAAGCCACGTCTTGGGGCTGCATAATAAAAAGGGAAGGTGTGAGCAGTGCTGGTTGCTGAAGGCAACCGTTTGCAAAGGAATCAAGTTTCATGGAATCCTGTTTTGTTTGCCTTGCTTGTGAACAATTCTCCATTTGAATTGTGTTCTGTTTGCCTTGGACAATTCTCCGTTTGCATCGTGTTTTGTTTGCCTTTGTTTTTGGGACATTTTGCAGGTCTGTACCTAATTAATAAAAGGGGTTTGTTTCTCATGGATTTCCAGCCTACTTGTTACAAGAGGGGTTTTGTCCTTGTGAATGAACAAGGACTCACATAGGCTGGGATAGAACAATACTAATATATATGGTTAACTTAGTCTCTGGTTTACAAAAAATACCTTATAGTACTTTTTAGTATAATATTAGTATATAATTAAATACAAAAATAAAATGAAATTACCTAATGATATCACAGTATTATTGCAAAGTATCATAAACTGTATGCTAAAGAAGAACATAACTGCTTCATTTGTTGATTTGTTGAAAATATTGCCTTTTGCAGAACAGAAAAATTACACATTTCCAAAATCAAAATATCTAGAATAATATCACTTTTTTCCAGGAGTTTGCCATATAATTCAGCATCACGTTAATATCTTTAATGTTTATGTACATTAAAATACTATTCTAGAAGTCTTATTAGACATTCACAAGACCATTTCATATGGATCAGTGGGCCTTCAAACTTTTTAGAACCTCCGGCCCAATTTTTAGTTTGTTTAATTCCTCTAGGAAAAATAAATTGGGTGAGGGAGTACCCTTTTCAGTGGTGGTATTCAAATATGTGAACAACCAGTTCTCTGTGTGGATGCTGCTTCCGGAAGTCCATTCTGGGCCTGGGCAATAAAAAATTAGCTGCCGGTTCTGCCGAAGTGGTGCAAACTGTCTGAATCCCATCACTGACCCTTTTCCTTCAAAACATTGACAAACATCAAACAGGAAACAATGGAGAGAAATGTTCAAGGTTATCTATTTTGCAAGGACTAAACCCTCTCAGCTGGCATTTGTACAAATTTGCTTATTGGAAGGTAAGCAAAGGAATTGGGTCTTCGTATCAGGTAAGTAGATACCAGTGAAACAATACCATTGCTGAGGAATTTTTGATTCAAGTTTTAAAAGCAGCATGGTTTAAAAGTGGGGTTCCCAACCATGGGTGCAAGATGATATTCCAGAGGGTGTGAAAACTTGGGTGTTCAAAATTATAGTGTATATGCATAATTCGTTGCCATTATTTCAAACTTTTGTAAGGGGTGTGAGAATATATCAGAAGCGTTCTAGGGGTGCGGGGTATAGAAAAGGTTGGGAACCACTGGTTTAAAGAATACCGAATAATGTTACAATATGCATAAATTCAGTTGGCATTCTTTATATCTAAGGTCTGGCTCCCCTTTGTGAAAACTTGCCCAGTGGGAAGGCAAATAAACCCGGAGATGTTGTGACAGCCATGAATGGAAAAACGATTCAGGTATGTTTTAAGATGCTTATTTAGCACAGGTTTTAATAGGATAATAGGACCTTGGGTTACACCTGAGGTTTCATCTAATAACATCATTTCTAGTTGAACAAATAGAACTTTAAATCAACAGTTGCAAGAGCCCCATGGAAAGGCCTAGAGGCCAAGCTTGCTAACATTTCTAACCTTCGTTGAAGGGCATCAGATTTGAGGGAATGGTAGCAATCTCATATTTAACAGAACAACAACATCTGTTCCCTATTGTTGCCCTGTGCTGCTTGGGGAATTCTGGGAATTGATATCCACATATCTTAAAGCTGCCAAGGTTGAGAAACATTGGGATAGAGATAGACTATTGGTATTAACCATTAGTTTTTCAGGATTGCAATACCAGAAGTCCCCAACCTTTTGGGCACCAGGGACCAGTTCCGTGGAGAGAGGTTTTTCCACAGAATGGAGAGTGCGTGGTTTTGTGTGCTGGCTGCATCCCGCGGATGGGGCTTTGCTTGTTGTGCGGACCAGTTGCTGGCATGCCACGGGCCGGTACTGGTCCATGAACCAGGGGTTGGGGACCTCTGGCAATACCATTGAAATAATAAAAGAACTGCAGCCTTTCATATTTGCCAGTGTGGATAGATTCCTCTCTACAAAATATGGACCTGGAGGTAGTTGCTAGAGAGGAAATGGTGGAAAGGCACCTTCAAGGGTTCTTAGTAGCAAATAAAACTGTTTTCCCAAATATTATACTCTTTTGAGCTTTTTGGCTCTATTGTATCCATTATTTGATAGTAGTAATTTTATTTATTTCAGGTTTTGAGTTATAATGCATTAAATTTTACAGTTTTAAAATGTATCATTAATTGCCCCCAAAATTAGCTATTGATGATATAGGCAAGCTTGTTAGCCAATGCTGTAATTACAAACAGAATGTGATTTTCTCTTGCTGATTTTCATAAAAGATTGACAATACAGATGCAGAGGGAAGATTGGTGTTGGCTGATGCTCTTCACTATGCACACAGTTTTAATCCAAGGGCAATTTTAGACACTGCAACATTAACAGGTAGCCCTTTTTTATTTGTTTCAAGCTTCTGTACTCCATATTCCCAGAATATTAGGAATACTATGAAAAGCTCCTCTTCCTATGCAGAATATTTTAATAATGTAATGTCTTTGTGAGTTTCAGCGGAGTGCAGACCCTCCAAATTGCATAGAGAAGATTTGTATTGTCTTAAAGCTAATGTTTTTTTTTTCTTTTTTACTACTTAGAGCAGAGTTCCCCAACCTTTCGGGGTTGGCGGCCCGGAGCAGGGGGAGGGGGGAAAGAAAGGATTTGGGGGGGGCGAATGCATGTGCGTGCATGAACACCCATTGCCCATGCGAGTAAGGCCATAAGAGCTTGTGCACGTGAAGCTGCAAATGCCTGCGACGCTTGCGCAAGTGGGGCCGCAAAAGCCCGCAACACTCAGTGACACTCACACAAGTGGGGTTGTGCATGTGCACATACACATGCACCTGCCAGCCACTCACACGGCCCAGTGGCCAATAGCCCATGGCCCGGTAGTGGGCCGTAGCCCAGAGGTTGGAGACCCCTGACTTAGAGGGTTCCCCCCCAACCCAGGGAAGAGTAGGCTGCATATTCAAATGCAAAAATATAAGCTTTGCTGTTTAAAATAATCTTGCCTGTAGCAAGATTCAGCTATAATTACATTACATCTTTTCACCAAGGTTGTGCACTTAAGCAGCTTCCTGTGAGCAAAGCAAAGCAAAGGAAAGAAAACCCAGGTGTCGATATTGCAGATAATAAAAAGGTTGAAACATCAAAAGTAAATAAAAAACCATCTGAATAAAATTATCTTTGCTTGGCAATAGATATTAAAAAAGAGTTGGATGGATCAAACAAATTTTTCATAAGACACGTCCAACAATAGGGTGGAGCTGCAAAACAATATCTCCTGTTCACCTGATAGTAATGCTGGTGTGCAGGAATATGGTCCAGTTTCCTAGGACATAGAACAATTTTTTTGAATTTTTAAAAATTTCTATGCTATAACCTTGCAAATAAAAGAAAAAAAAGATATTTTTAGAAGTGCGAATATAAATTGCTAGCTGATGAGCAATTACTGTAATGCTAGTCAACATGGAAAAATGGCTGGATAACCTGCATTTTATAATACTTTATAGGTGCCATGGATGTAGCATTAGGATCAGCAGCTACTGGGGTTTTTACAAATTCACAGCAGCTGTGGCATCACCTATATGAGGTAAGTGATGCTACTAACAATTGATTTCAAGATAGGTTTTGATTTAGAGAGTTTTAAAGAAAAGATTCAACCCTTTTTATTGAGAACCTAAGTTGTGACTATTGACTACAAAAGCTAAACACAAAACGTTAGCTTTGGAGTTGATAAAACTTTTGTGAACTAGTGATAATTTCCTCACCTTGGGGCTTCTGTCTATACTTATACCTAAAGTAAGCCACTTGGAGACAAACAAACCACAGCAATGCAATTGAATATATTTGATCCTGTCTCTAATACTTCTCAGACAAAAAACAGAAGAGAACCAAGTTTGGATTTATTAATATTAGTTAACTGAAAAATGGAAAACAGTATTTTTGATGCCCCTAATTATTTCAACAATTTGTGTTATGAATTTCTAAACTACTATCAGACTGATCTTGCCAATGCAGCACCTGTGTAGCCAAGATACATATTTTCTGTAGGTGGCAGATAAAATAGGCAATGACATCCTTTAGCCCAGTGAGTGTTTCAGGGTAATGCCCTCTGATCAGGCATGGATGTCAGACATAATTTGAAAGCAGGCATAAGAAGTGGCTTAGTTTGCAATGAGAACAAATGATTTAGGTGGATAAAGCAAAGATTAAAAAATGTCAAGATAATGTTTCAAGGAGAAGAAATGAGCATTGGAAGGGTAAATGTGGTCCAGTTTAAGCAGCTATAAAATGATGCACAATATCCTCAACTTCATATATAAATTTAATAAATAACAACTTCACAGATACACTGGCAGGCCTGAGCTTGTGGGGATCTTGATGCATGGATAGTTTGGTAATAACATTGCTTGAATTTGGGATTGCTATGAAAAAGGCAGGTTGGTTGTGAAAATCATTAGGAAGAAAATTGAAAGTGCCGGTCCCACCCAGCTATGCCAATTCCTGAGATCATTTCTGTTTTCAGCCTGCAAGGATTCTCTTGGTGCCTCCTGTCCATGGCAGGAAGTTTATTTTTCTGAAGCAGTATAAAAAAGAAAGGGATTTTGGTAGAAAGTGAAGCTTAGAATCTGCTTCAGTTTAAATCTAATTATTGGGCTCAACCATTGTAAGCAAACTAAAGACTATAAAGAACTGTGTGGAAATTTGATATCTGAATAGCTTTTCTCTACACTTGACAGGCTAGCATTCTGACAGGGGATCGAGTTTGGAGAATGCCTCTCTTTGAACATTACACAAAGCAAATGACAGACTGTCACCTAGCAGATATCAATAACATTGGAAAATACAGGTAACATAGCTAAGTTAAAATGCAATGCTGCTGCTATGCTATTATGCTCACATTACTTTTCCCAGTGCCTACAGAGAACTTGGACAAATAGGAGTTAAAGGAGAAGCTGGCTAAATATATTTCAGATCTTGTTTATTTGGGCAAGGATCCAATAGAGCAACAATCTATAGCCATGTTCTTGTGGGTATGGCTTGGCAGAGGAAGCATAACTGGACCTTTCACTTGCTAAGATCAATAGACACTCTCTTTTGCTCAGAGAGAAAATTATTTACTAATTTGCTTCGGCTTTTTGTTGTGATGCAGAAATGGATTGTTGTTTTTCTGAATCCAACTAATGGAGAATTTTGAAGAACAAAATTATAGAGATGGTGGTGCAACTATGCCACTCCCTCTGTAATTGTTATTTTTCTAAGTAAATGTGACTTCACATGAGCCCAGGAAAAGGTGCCACAGACAAGTAGAGAGACAGTGCTTATACCAGATTAAACACTGCACATTTCTGTTGGTTTTTTTTGTATTTTTCAAGTTGAACTCATGGCTTAGATTCTGATTTCTGGTTATGTGAATCAAGGTTTGGGGTAGTATCTTATGTTTTCCATGATGATAGGCAGTTTTAGATAGCTTTTATTCCTCTGTAAATTATTAAGAACAATGCAAATAATCTTGCACATAAAACTTATCTTTTCTCCCATCAGGTCTGGCGGCGCATGCACAGCTGCTGCATTCCTGAAAGAATTTGTGACTGCTCCTCACTGGGCTCATTTAGATATTGCTGGTGTAATGGAAAATAAAGATGAGGTTCCATATCTGCGAAAAGGCATGGCGGGAAGGCCAACACGTACCCTGGTTGAGTTTATTACTCGACTGGCCCAAGACAAGCAAAGTTTTTAGAAAGCAGGTTTGCAAGGATCACCTCTGGCTTTAAAAACAGTTAATTTGAACCTGGAATCAGCCAGTGTATTGATAAAATTCCAAAGGGTCATCCATCTTCAACTTTAATTTTGGGGGGCTACTTTGAAAAGATCCACAGCAATGGACTATAAATTCATTCCATAGAATTCTACTAAATCAGTTGCTTTTTATACTCTTCAGTCCAGAATCTTGTCCTGTATTTGGTATCCAAAGAGCAATCAGTCTAAACCAACAGGCTTTATAATATGGATTGAATAATAGATACACAGCTATCACATACAATAAATACATCTTCCAACACTTCCAGTTGTTGAGGTTTTTGTCTTTTGCAGAATATGCCTTCCAAAAGGATTTGTTGCATAGATGGTTGGGCAGAATATTAAGAAAGGAGTGAGGCCTTATGCCAGCATAAATAAGGCCCTCATTTCTGCATGCCAACAGATGAAATTTGAATTTGATAGAGGACGCCTCTAAGGATATGTCTTGTCTTTGGTGGAAAACATGCTTTGTGTACAAAACAGTCCTGTGCTTCCAATGGGTGCTGGAAGGGCTTGGCAGCCTATCATCCCTAGTAGGAGAGTGTGTGCAGTGGGGGAAGGATCGAAGGAGCTTGTGGCATTTATCCTTCCTACAGGGCTGGCTGAGTAGTTCCAGGTGAGAGACTGTCCTTGAAGCAGCATATGTTGGTGCTTTTAGGATAGAACTTAGCAGTAAAGGTTATTTTTGTAAGGTTTTCCACTTAGCCTCACAATTGCCCCAGCGTTACTTAGGAATTTAAAAGAGCCAAAGAAACTCCTGAGCCTAGGTTTCAACAAAGATTACAACTTTATTTTGATCAAAACAGAGAGGGGCTGCCTGATTCCTCTTCGTGGCTGGTAGAGGAATGAAGGCAAGCAAGCAGAAAAGATGTCTTCCACCTTTTATACCTTTCCAGAACAAAAAGATCAGGTCTTGGTACTAGGCATAAGATGGCACAAAAAAATAATTCCTAGATGATGACTCATACAGAGCAACCCAGGCTCCATCCGTAACTCCTTTCCCCCCCCCCTTACTGTGCTCTTTTTCATATAAGCAATCACCTATACCTAAAGCATGAAGCCCTTACTTTTCCAATATATATATATATAAACCATCTGATCAAGCAATTAACTACAAAATAATGATTACAAAATAACAAAACAATGATTACATGATAACACTATAAGTATCAATATAAAATGGTTACTATATATAAAATAAATGCTAATGTCAAACTTAAACATACTAAAGTCATAAGCACAATAAAATCCCTTCACTCCTCCCTTTTTAATATAAAAGCCGAATAGGCACTAAGAACCCTGGAAAAGGGGGGTATAATCAGAAGGTAAAGGTCTTAAAACCATAGCTTTAGCAGGTTTATCATTAAAAACAGGAGTAGCAGCAAAAGTCAATCCAGATATAGTGGACCGAACAATTCTTTGAATAAGCGGAATAAGGCATGGTAAGCACAACAATCCTCCAAAGGCCAATCCCACAATAAACAGGATTCTTTTCCAATTATCAAACATACCCGAAAACCATCCTCCAACATCCAGTGCGCCTGTCCATGTTTGGACAGGGACATGAGCCAACTTGCACATTCTGTCTGTGATTTCTTCAATGACCTTGCCACTGTCATCAATATGGAGACAACAATTGCTAAGGTTGAATTTTCCACAGACCCCACCTTCCCTAGCCAATAGGTAATCCAGAGCTAATCTATTCTGGTATACAGCAGTTCTGAGTTGAGTATCAGTTCTTGCCAACGCCAAAAGGGCAGAGCTGGTTTCATTTGTGATGATTTCCAAAACTGCTTGCAGTCTAATTATCCTGTTAAGCATATAAATAGGCGTCCGGTATCCCCACATTCCATCTGACGCCCACGTCACAGGACCATATACCTGGATTATCCACTCTGGTGGCCATTCATCATCTTTCCAATTTCCAATCGGAATCTTTGAGACATCCCGTGTCTTTCTATTTACAGGATCTCCAACATCAACATACACAGGAACACCCAATCGCTCGCCTTAAGAGAGGGGCAAAAGAAAAAACTAGGTCTCACATGGCCTAGGACACATGCTCCAGCCCAGGCTTTGGGAAGTTCAGCATAGGCAGAATTTCCACAAATCCAATAAAGAATATCAGGAGCGGGCCAAGGAATAAAAGTATTTTGTTTGTTGGACCATAAACGTTTCAATGGGCCGTCCGGGAATGAGGTGGATGGTTCAGTCTCATTTCCCTGCCAAGTACAGTTGGTTGAAGTACTATTGCAGAACCAACCTCCCTCACAGAAAGTTTCACCAACAAATTCCCTATATGCAAGGTTGGACTGTGGTCTAATAATGCAATTCTGGGCCACAATGACAGAATGGAGGGCCCATTTAGTTGGACGGTCCTTATCTTTCCAAGTCAAATTGAAATGAGAAGTAATGTCCAATTGAATCTCTCGAGCTTCCCCTGGCCATTGTTCTCCCATGTTAGTGCCTCCACAAACAAAGCAGTTTTTAACCTCTAGGGAAGAAGCAACCCGCTCAGCTAAATCAATAAACAAATTTTTGGTAACCTGGGGTATTTCAATTGGAGTAGTAAATTCATGCCAAAATTCAGTATGTACTTGAAATTGTTCAGGTTTACTATGACGCAAAGTGGTCTGAATAATTATCCGTCCGTAAGGGTCTTTACCTGTCCCATCAATGCCTATACCATAAGACACTGTGCGAGGGGATGCATTTGAAAAATGGAAACATATAGGGGTGCAGGAACCAGGGCGACAGGAGGTAGAGGCTTCTCCTTCGGTCATGGTAAACCAAGAGGCTCCACCCTTGCCCGGACCCTCACTCAGAGAATTAAAGGCAGTGTACCAATAAACATATCCCGAACGGGGAGCACTATATCCAGAAGACTTGGAAACCAGTTTCTGGTATAGGTATTTTCTTCTTTCCCATGAAAGATCTCCACACACAACTCCAAGGGTCCGGGACGAACCCTGGCCTTGCCGTATGGCTTCACAAGCATCAAAACAGACTGATACCTTATGCGATGTTGACCAGTTTGAGGCAATAGGATGAGTGAGGAGGGGGTGTTTATCTGAACCTCCCACATAAGGGTAAACTTTGACACTAGATGTTACCTTCACCCCCTGTGGATTGAAGCAGGTTATTTTGTGAGCTTCTGTGCACACGGAATACGAATTATTTCCATGCCTACATTGGGAAACATTCCCCCTACAGTCATAAAAGGAATGATAAACCATTGTTTGGGTGGTCTTTTCCATAGTATAGGTGGTTTTAACACAAGGGGTACAGTGTGGTGTTACTTGATGAATGGGGGAAAGATGCCTTGGTTCCTTACCAAGGACATCATTAATCACATTCTGGCTGGAACCAGTGACCAGGATCCAGACAAGTCCAATCACCAAATTCACAATCAAGGAGAGTGTCCCAGTCTTCTTCTTCCAGCTCGGGCATCTCATCGTCTTCAGTGTAGGTTTGTCCATTAATAGAATAGGTTATTACTTCTTCTTTTTCTCCTACTTCTTCTTCGGGATCAGTGTCACCAATATGCCACCCTTCAAAGGGCAGAGGCAAATACTTCGGAATTTTAGATCGGTAGAAAATCGCAGGAAGGCACATCTGAAGGGAGTCTGGACAACCGCAGTTTCAAACCCTCCAACTGTTGACTTTGCCACTGGACGTTGGGAGCTGGAACTTTCTTTATACGGGAACAGTGAATCCACGCCTTTATGCCAGGAACCTTCACAGCTGTTGGAGTGCTGAGCAGCACCTGGACCGGTTCTGACCACTTGGCAGCACCGCTCAAGGGGTTGAGTTCTTTCACACAGATCCACTCTCCAGGTTCCACAATAAGAGGCAAGTCAGGGATCACTGGAAGGGCAGCTTTGACCTGTTGGGAAATAGAAGGCAACACCTGCGACAGTTTCTGCAAATACAAAGAAACATTCTCCTCTCCTTCATCCGCCCCCATAACATAATGAGAAACAAAAGGTCTACCATACACCATTTCAAAAGGTGACAATTAGAGCTTCCCCCCAGGAGTTGCTCTTACACAAGTCAGAGCAATGGGCAAAATCTTGGGCCAAGTTAAGGAGGTCTCCTGGCACAACTTTGCCATGTGACCTTTCAAAGTCCTATTCATGCGGTCCACTTGAGCCGATGCTTGGGGCCTGTACGATGAATGAAGGTGCCAGTCAATGTGCAAAAGTTTGCACACACCCTGAACCACTTGAGAGACAAAATGGCGGCCATTGTCAGACTCAATGGATTTAGGAAGTCCAAACCGTGGGATGATCTGGTCAACAATAGTCCGGGATACTTCACAAGCCCTTTGGGTGGTAGTAG